CATTTCCCTCTTAAGTTATACCCACGTTCTCTTTCTATGAACAATTTACAGATTTCTTTTGGAAGCAATTTATTTCTTACTTTATACATTATTTGCGCTGTTTTAAGCTTCACCAAGTCTTGGAATTTAATAGCTTGCATTTTGACAAAGAGTGCATTTGTATGGTCCCTGTACCCCACATTATTTATTACAGTTTTTTCTGATGGCTTAAGCACATTTTTTGTAACTATTGGTTATTTTTGCAAAACTCTACACACAAATAAGAAAACTCTTCACCCAATCAACAAAACATTGTAGTTTTCTTGTAAAAGCGAATAACCCTGCTTAACTCTCCACACCTTTGTAAAAATGGTATTTTGGTATCCAACAGTTAACACAAGCCATCACATTACAGTTTTTTCTGAATGCTTAAACCCTAACTGTGATTCTTATAGCACAATTTCTAAAACTATTAATACTTATAGCAAAACCACTCACTGAGTTTGCAAAACTAAAAGCACAAACACTGCTTTGCACTCAGTTTGCCATTTTGTAACACACACTTTGCAAACCTGTAGCTACAATCCACTGCACAGCACTCTCTTTGCAGAACTGTAAACACAACTCACTGCTTTACACCCAATTTCCAAATGATCAACACAATCCTAGCAAAACTATACACATTTATGGCCATTATTTACACTATTTTGTAATGAAAACGTCAAAACAAATTATTTTTGTATCTCCTATTGTAGCTCCGATGTCATCAGCAATTCTATTTCTTACTCTTCTTACCCTTCTTCTCCCCCTCCTCGTCCTTCTCTCCCCCCTCCTCGTCCTCCTCTTGCTCGTCCTTGTCCTTGTCATCCTCTTCGTCCTACTTCTTCACCTCCACGTCCTCTTCCTCGGCCTCCTCTACTTCTCACTCTTCCTGCTCCCTCCATTGTACAGTGCAGGCTGATTGCAAAGTGAACTAATTATCTAAAAAAGTTTTCACATGTGACAGTGTGCCAGACAGTTGGCAAAATAGCCATAAATGTGTATAGTTTTTCTAGGATTGTGTTGATCATTTGGAAATTGGGTGTAAAGCAGTGAGTTGTGTTTACAGTTCTGCAAAGAGAGTGCTGTGCAGTGGATTGTAGCTACAGGTTTGCAAAGTGTGTGTTACAAAATGGCAAACTGAGTGCAAAACAGTGTTTGTGCTTTTAGTTTTGCAAACTCAGTGAGTGGTTTTGCTATAAGTATTAATAGTTTTAGAAATTGTGCTGTAAGAATCACAGTTAGGGTTTAAGCATTCAGAAAAAACTGTAATGTGATGGCCCTTTTCTGTATTATAGTTATTGTTTGTGTGTTAGTTTTGTATGTGTTTCCCCAGACCTCTACACAGTAGCTCATATATGGCAGTAGTAAAGCACAGTATAAAATGTGCAGTGCTGTCTGATCCAACATATGCTTTGCTTTCCCCAGGACGGCAATGCCCCTTGCCAATTTCCCCCAAACATAAGTAATGTGTGGCCTCCAAAAGAGCTTGTGGTCAATGATCACACCAAGAAATTTTATTTCGTTTACTGGTTTTATCTAGATTCAATGATAATTTATTTATATCAAACCACTTCTTTAATATCGTTAATTCCTGTGTGATCATCTCCAAAACCTGTGGCAATTCCACACCTGAACACAGTATATTTGTGTCATCTGCAAATATTACAAACTTTAAAATCTCCAATACTCTACAGATATCATTTAAGTACATAATAAACATTTTTGGACCCAGTACTGAACCTTGAGGTACTCCACAAGCTATATCCATCAAATTAGATTTATATTCATTTATTTGTACATATTGTTGCCTATTCCCTACATAGCTTTTTAACCAGTCCAAAACCACTCCCCTAAACCTTTCCAGTTTTTTTAATAGAATTTCATGATTAACAGTATCAAACGCCTTCTTTAGATCTAAAAAAAACCTCCGAGCGCATACCTCTTATTATCCATACATTCCGTTATCTTTTCCATTAAATCTATCAGTGCCAAAGCTGTTGATCTGTTGCTTCTGAACCCATACTGACTATCTGACAGTAATTCATATTTTTCCACAAAACTGTCAAAACTTTTTATGAAAAGTTTTTCCAGTATCTTAGAGAACTGGGAGAGTATTGACACTGGTCTATAGTTTGTAAAATGATGCCTTTCACCGGTTTTGTAAATGGGAATAACTTTAGCCACTTTCATCTTTTGTGGAAAAACTCCTTTTTGAAAGGACAAATTAAATATATTTTTAACATATTTAATTTGAGACTGCAGGTTTATACCCATGTGTTCACTTGTTGGTGGCTAGTGATTTCCCAGCTACAGTATAGGATTTTTGTACTGTCATGCTAATGAAAAACTTAGCTCCTGAAATTTGAGTTCCTGATTTAAAGCTGGATTTGGTAACACAGAATTGTTGTTGTGATATATAAGCAGGGTTGGGGAGTAACAGATTACATGTACCGGCATTATTTATTTGGAATGCAAAATATGACCAATTGTATTCGTTTACAGTTACTGTTTGAAAAAGTGATAATCAGAATACAGTTACTTTGTTGAAATAAATGGATGACACAGTTGTATTTTCCTGTTTCTTATGTTAGGCTATCCCCACTCTATTTTTGGTAATTCCACGCTGGTGGAAACCCAAACAAAACTGCTTATCTCTCACAAACAAAGTTGACCCAGACAACAAAGTAAAGCTAGTTTTCAGCTACCAGCCCGACACGGAACCTGACATATTAGCCAGAGGTCCCTTCCCTACGGTTTGGAGCCACGGACCTGTTTCATATATGCACAGAATAGTTTTCTATACTAGATCGCTGCAAAAAGTGCAGCTTTACCTAATGTCCACTCTATTGTTACTCATTTTATATTAAGATTTAAAAATCTTGTTGGTATTGCTATGGCGAATAATCTTCAGCAATAGTAATAAATTACAAAGTGATAGTACATTCATGCAGTTGTAAAAACCATGACAATATATTATGTAATCCAAAGTATTGAGAATACATTTCTCTCATTGAGTAACGTAATGGCTTGTGTGTAATCATGTATTCAGTACATTTTAAAAGTAACCTTCCCAACACTGTATACAAGCAGTACTAGTCAAACATTGGGCCACATCTTCAGATTTAATGTTTTTTCTCTGTGTATATACATATATAGAGGTGTGTGTGTGTGTGTGTGTGTGTGTGTGTGTGTGTGAAATTTGATGGGACAATCTTTTATTAAATAACAAGTGACATCCTTTCTGATCAGTTTGTTATGCTTTATCCATTTATACAATTTTGCTAGTGTATTGGGGTGATATTTTCTTTCTTTCTTATTATTTGGTGGAATCTAAAAACGTGGATTTAGAAATATACTGATATAATTTTGAAGATCTTCAAGATCTTTATTTGCTATTTTATTTCATTTGCAATAAAAAACTTTTCACATTTGATGATTAGCTATATATTGTTTTTTATTCCATATTCATGTTTGAGATAAAATCAAAATCAAGCATTAAGGCAAACACATTTCATTAACAAAGAAACTTAAAGGCCACAAAATTTTGTTCACACGAATCACACCACCATGAATAAAAGCCGACTACAGCATTTAAAGCAGGTACAAGAAACATTTTCTTAATGGCACCGACACCTTTCTTATGATCATTATTACAATTTTTAAAACCATTTTTTTCTTCATCAGCACCCAAGGACATTTCATTAGATTCTTTTCTGGAAAATCAAAGAGAATTAATGCTACACAGCTGTCTACACATAAAATGTTTTCTGTCAGATGTTACATTTTGATGCAAAGATGCTGTCCTGTTTTAACTACACGCATTCTAATGTTTATATGATTTACTACAGTAATCTAATCTCTCCCAAGAATGTAAAGAAACTCCATGATACGTTGCTGCAGTAGAGCGAGGAATATATAATTAAATACTCCATGTCCACTGGTCTGTGCAGCCTCGACCTCTCTGTACATTTCATTTGTGTAGCATGTGCCCCCGTTTGCTTCCACCATGTTATCAATCTTCCTGATGAGCTCCACCACCTGCTGTCTGTCACTGCTATGGTTTTCGAAAAGGTGAAACCTGTTTCCACATCTTTGGATGACTCGCTGCAGATCTGGTGTGGATTCACGTACATACTGCTGTATGGTCTTGGTTCCAAGTTCACGACCACGTGTGAACAACACAATCATGTAGTGGTTAGCCTGTGGACCAAACAGCTCCTGCAGGGCTTCCACAGCATTTTTCTCCTCTTTGGTGAATCGACCGACTTGGATGACCAGCAGGAACACATGGGGGCCTGGGCAGGAGACTTCAACACATCTCACAATTTCTTTTTTTATGAATTCTGGAGATTTTGCTGTGTCCAGGATCCCTGGTGTGTCTACTACACTAATTACTCTATTACCCCACCGCATCACTTCTTTTGTACAAGTCGCAGTAACTGACTCTGCACTGGGTTCAGATCTGAAATATTCTCCTCCCAGGATGGTGTTTCCGACAGCACTCTTGCCCACACCAGTTTTTCCAATCATCACAATTCTCAAATCAGGACCTGCAACAGAAATTGTGAGACATATAGTTTCTTTTTTTTGGTCAGAGTATCTAAATAGCTCAGTGTGTAAATAAATCAGTTTTCACTTAATAGGAAATTAACTATATACCGAACAAATTAAATCTGTTGCTTACCTTGTGAAAATGAAGCCATACTTTCTCTAACTGTTGTTTCTTCACAGGTGAGAAATGGAAAAATGAAGAGAAACTTAGTGTTTATTTATAGATCCAAAGCTGACACACCTGCAGCATTTGCATATTGCATACGGGAGGCGTGGCAGGTTTAGTTCTATATAAAGCAGACAGAGAGCAGCACAGCCAGCAGATACACACAGCTTGTCTTTTCCAGATTTCTGCATTGTATTGAGGGCCATGTCTCACAGTAAGTCTTTCTTATAATCTTTTTTTTTTTTTTTTTTTGTGTCTCACACACACTGTCAATGTTTAAGAAATGTGTTTACATAAGTTTGTGGTTTATGACAGTATCAGAGGAAAAATATTTCTTTCTATTTTTTTGTTCACAGACAAGATTTCAGTTGTTCTTCTGGGAAATGTGGATTATCTGAAAAAATCCCTGATTACCATCATCCTGGGGAAAGACGCGATTAAGCTCTCTGAAACAGGGGCTCTTAAAAACCGAGAGATTTATCAAGATGACAAGTTTGTGTTCACATGTATATCAGACACAACTAATGCCATAAAAGAGTTGTTTCTGGAGAATCCGGTCCCTGACATGTGTGTGTTGATGGTGGAGAATGAGTTTTCACTAGATCATGTGTGGCAGCAGATAGGAAATCTGAAGGAGGTCACTGGAAAACCTAAAGATGAGTTCATAGTTGTGCTGCCTGGGATCAGAACTACTCCAGATTACCCATTCAAATGCTACACCATGCTGCAGTTTTTCACTCAGCTGAACGATCTGGTGAAAATGAAAGATGAGACAAATATGAGGTAAGGTTCAAAAACCAGAAATGTATACTGACTGATTATTTGGGATTTGATATTCTCAAAATAAGAACATTAAGGTGATTTTACAGTGTACATTAGGACAAATGGTAGGTTTTGGTTTGTAAAGTAATACATATTCACTTGTTATTACTAAACTACAGACATGCTTACAACCCTGGGTCACAACATCAAACGGATATGAAAGGTAAGGCACGATCTTTCCTCGGTATGACAACACAGAACCAATGTTCACTGACGGCTGTTTAATTAATTAAGAAAGAACTGAAAGATTTAATGGATACTTACAAATTCTCTTATTTGGCCTTTCTATTCAGGTGGCAGATTTAGCAACACGACCTACGAGGACCCTATGATGACTTCAAAAAGTGAGACATGTTTTCAAACTTGCATAAGTATTAATTACAAAAATCTGTGCTAAAGTTTTTGTGAACATTCTGATCATAGCAGTGCATGCATGTTTTTAAACCAATTAAAAGAATAACATTTTTCATTTTCAGTATATATTATGTTCTTTTTCTTCTTCAACAATGCAGGAAAGTGCACCATCACCAATGTGAACCTTGTTCTGGTGGGAATGGCAGGCACTGGAAAGAGTGCAAGTGCAAACTCTATTCTTGGGAAGGAAGCTTTCCTGTCCACATCCAGTTCATCTTCAGTCACCAGAGAATGTCAGGTGGAACAAAGAGAAATAAATGGCGTACATGTACGTGTGATTGATACTCCAGACATCTTTGATGATGAAATGCCATCATCAGTTAGAGAAAAACATGTAAAAAGGTGCAAACAGCTTTGCGAGTCAAAACCTTGTGTGTTTGTACTTGTGATGCATGCGAGCAGATTTACAGATGGTGAGAGAGACATACTAAAAAAATTAGAAAAAGCTTTTGGGAGCAAAGTTAGAGAAAAAACTGTTATACTGTTCACCCGAGGTGATGACTTGCAGCGCGCACGAATGAGCCTGGAGGATTTTCTGCATCGCTGCCAACCTGCTCTGAAGGAAATAATTCAAAAGTGTGGCAACAGGTGTGTCCTCTTTGAGAACATGTCAGATTCATGTCAAGTGGAAAAATTAATGAACCTAGCAATCGCTTTGTCAAAACAGTAGAACGTATCATTGAAAATCGTACCAAAAAAAAAAAATTGGATCATTTCTTTTGAATATAAATATGAATAAACAAGACCTTGAGATGATTTTATCTCATTAGTCATACATTTAAAGTTAGCGCTGCTTTTGTGTTTTCAAATCTTTTTTAATCCTTTTTTCAGCGTTAAATCAGAGATGCTTATAGTTGTAATTGAACTTTTTTTCTGAAATTGGTGGCTGGATTTTGTCTTTTATTATTTCTTATTGTGAACTGCTGTAAAATATTTGTGTGAGAGTGATCAATAAAAAAATACACCACAAATCATCATTTACCAAAGTATGACTAGAGACGTTGTTAAACGGTTGTAACCAGGAAGTCACGTATACAAGCACAGATACACTCACAGTTGCATACACAGTGCCTTTAACTTTTATGACACACCATAGGGGTTTTACAATGGGGTGCTTGTGTGTTCACTGAACAAAAGACTGCGCAGGAAGGCTGGAATTTGATGTTGGCTGGGGTCAGGTGGGGAGTTTGTATCTCCAAGATGCTGACCTGACTGGCTGCCCTTGCAAGTTAAAATGGATTGAGCTCTGAGTGTTGTTAGATTTATATTATTGGATTGTCATTTATGCTTAGAAATATCTACTCATATATCCTTAGAGTTTTATAATCAATGTCATGTTGGTAGAGGTTTGATCCTTAATAGTCTGGAAAGACTTTGTGTGCATTCCAGAGTGTTCTGGCATTCACACCCACATCCTGGGAGCATGGGAGAGGTCGTACCTTCTCTTATTGTTTCATGGTAGGATAAACACATCTATATCTGTTTAAGTCTAAGTGCCTTTTGTTTAGATGAACTGCTGGACTTCCAGACCAGCAGGTTTAGGGAAGTCGTTTATGGGGTCACACTCTGACCCACACAGAAAATTAAGGACCAAATTTTTCACTATGGTTGCCTGATAATGAGAATGAAATGGGTTTCATACAGTGGGTTATGTCAGAGAGTCTGGTGCCGTTTAAGGTGGACTTCCAATGGCTCTCTCAGAGAAATTAAGGGAAGGTCAAGTTCTCTGATCTATACAATGCTTTTCTGTTCCTGAGTCAATTAAACTATGACAAGGGTGAGTATGAGTATTAAGAATTAATTTAGCCAGGCACATGACTCAAGGAAAGAAGACATTACTGATCTTGACCTCCAGCATTATTACCGTTCTCCACAGACATAATGTCTCTTCTGACCACAATAGAAGCACTAACCACTGAGCAGCTGAATTAACCTTACAGTTGAGTTTTGTTTTTTGGACAAAACAACTTTTTTGACAAAAAATGCCACTTTTTAGACAACTGTTTTTCAAGGTCTGTGCGTGTGTGCATTTATGTGTGTGTGTAAAAATGTGTTAAACCAAAATAAAATTCTTAGTTAAACTGGTGCTTTTGCAACAGTCAGCATGGGGAGAGTTAGAGGCTGCATGCCCAAATGGAAAGCTTTATTATTATTTTATTTGTGTTTGTTTAATCTGAAAAAGGAAAATCAGAATTAAAGTCCAACTTACAAATGCACCAACTACCAGGGACACGGTCTTCCAGGATTCAGGATCCCAGAGATGAGTAAAATGTATGTAGACACCATGCCCAGTTTGGATAAACTGACAAGCTCCTGGACTTTCGGTGCAACCTAGAATAAACTTACAATCTCTCCAAGCTGGGATAAACTAACTCAATTTTATTATTTTACCTGCATAATTCAAACATTCTTTCTTTTTGTGACTGAGCTGTGTCTTTCAAGATGAAAGTGGTGTCAGTGCATGCTTTGCTTGATACACTAACTCCTCATTCTAAGGTTCATCCAAAGTAGACACATAAACTGTGATAACTGAGGAAGTACAACTTTTTGACTTTGTTGCAAGATACATCCAACATGTTCCTTGAATGAGGATTGCTCTTACTATACTAAAGTGATATGGTTAAAATATGTGATCAATACATGAGAAAAGAAATCTGCCACCACAGTGGTAAGAGGAGCGGGCTACATGCTAAACTAAAGGCTAGAGCCACACGACCACCTCTGCCTAGCCTTTTGTTAGCTAATGTCCACTCTCTCAAAAAACAGACGGACAAGCTGAGAACCAGGATAACATCTCAACGTGAGATCAGAGAGTGCTGTACTCTGATTTTTACACAAACCTTCCAACTACAGAGGAATATCCCTCCTCAGCCTCCCTTGGAAAGTCTATGTGCCGAAAAGGAGAGTGTGTCTCTTAATTGAACCGTGGATACCGGAGGAACACTGGACCAGCACTTTACCCTTTCAAGGATACTTAAAGGTGCATGGGAGTTTGCCCAACCAGTCTACATGTGTTTTGTGGACTTGGAGAAAGCATTCGACCGTGTCCCACAGGGGGTCCTGTGGAGGGTGCTTGTTCCTGGTAGGTGATGGTCTCCGCCCTTTGTCACCGATCCTGTTCATAACTTTTATGGACAGAATTTCCAGGCGTTCCAGGCCAAGTTAGCAGTTAAGTGTGAAGCAGCGTGAATGAGAATCAGGGCCTCCAAATCTGAGTCTCGCTAAAGTTGATTCTGTTTATCTGCATGTAGAGTTTTAATTGGGAGAAACGTTTTGTCACTCATCCAAGTGACTTCCTCAGTCTCAGCTGACTGCAGGTTTCCCCAATCTTATAAACAGTACATTTGCATAATGACTGAAACCAGCCCACTGAAGGAACAAAGGGCTGGGAGGTCAGTTCCCTTATCATAATGATGCAAATTCTCACGACCATTGATCAACAGCCACTGATCGCTACTGGTAGAATATGTTTGGGACGTTAGTCAATGTCTTCAATAAACAGGAGACTTCCCAAGATAACAAAGGATTCAACACAAAGTTCAAGCGAGTCTTCTATTAAATTTAATTCATTATGATAAGTATTCAATTCATTTCACTTTTATTTACGTAGCACCAAATCACAACAGCAGTTGTCTCAATGTGCTTTGTAGACTCTACAATAATACAGTGAAAACAACCAAATGACCCAAACACTTTGGCAACAATGACAAAGAAAAACTCCCTTTTAAAAGGAAGAAACCTCCAGCAGTTTGTCGATCAGACTGCTGACAACAGGTTCTGATATCTTATCAATGAACATGCTCCGTACTTTTAACAGTTTCTTATTTGAAGAGAGAATCATGCTTCTACGGAGCCCCGCAGGGGACATGGGAGAAAAAAAAATTA